AACTAACGCAAGTAGAATCCCGGAGATGAGGAAGGTGCAACCTCCGACGGGAAACCCCAGCAGCGACGTCGTGGCGTCAATGGCGAAGGAGCGGCGGCGGAAGGCCCATGCACGCAACAGCGGTTGGATTTGGCGGTTCACATCGGCACCTCTGACTGCCCTGCTCCTCTTCTAATGTAGAACGAATTACTCCGGTGGTCTCCGACCTCAATCGCGACTGAAAGGTGGTGGAGAAAGGATGGTGGCGGTGGGGAGACATAACGTTGACAACTCTTCTTCTACAGTAACAGCAACAGCATTATGGTGGCGTCTGGTGGTTGAAGACCTCCACAGAGGTGGCATTTCCTTGATGATTCAGTGGCGATAAGGAAGCTGGAGGTAGAGGTCGGATAGAGGGGATACAAGATGGTGTTGGCGGCTAACTTCCCGTTCCTAGGGTTAGGGTTTTGAACCCTTAAATACCCGCTCCATCAAAATGTTTTCCATATTGACAATAACGGTCCCTCCCTTCACATTTTCTTTCAAAGCAAGGCCAATATTTACCATTTAAACCCTGAATCCATAAATTTCTTTCACAATAAGTCCATATTTACTAAACAGCCCCTATCTTCTAAAATCTTCACAAAACTAATCCAGAATTTACAACCCCCCCCCCCCCCCTTTCTTGACAATTTCTTTTCAATTAAGGTCCAGAATTTATCCTTCAATCCTCAACTTCTAAGTCTATGACAATTAGCCCCTCGAGACCATCCATTGATATATAATTATTTATTTTAGGGCTACTATTCGCTCATTAATTTATTTATTTATCTAATAAATAAACGGGGTGTTACATTATTATTGTGAATTATTAGTTGTGGATATATTGTATTAAGTTATGAATTATATGTATTAAGTTGTGAATTATGTGTATCAAGTTGTGAATAAATTGAAAATTAAACTGTGAATAAACTGAATTAAATTGTTTTTACTGTATTAGATTGTGAATTCTATATAAATTTTTATATTAAATAGTAAACGAATGAATTGATTGTCCAAATAATATTCTAGATTTTTACTTCTATCTTCTAGGTTGTTATCGGTTGTAAAAGAAAAAAAAAATTTAGTAGGAGGGTATTAATTATGAGTGGGTGAAACCATGTCTCTCAAATTGTTTTCAATAAACATTTGCACAACTTTTTTTTCTTATGCTTAACAAGAAAGGACAAAGGAGAAGAAAAAGTTAATTTTGTTTCACCTTTCTTTTTCTTGGTTCAAGACATAATAAATATGACAAGAATAAATTATTGTTATAAGTTAAAGCTGCAAAAAGTTGTATTGTAGAAAGGTTGTTGGTGTTTAAATACAAATGTTTTTTTGCTTCACTACTACTTAATTCAAAAAGTTGTCTTGTAGAAAGGTTGTTGGTGTTTAAATAGGGAATAAGACTAATTAAGGTAATTAACTTTTCAGTTTGTTCACATGTAGGTAACTATCTTTTTTTTGTACACATCTAGGTAACAAACTTTTTGAAACTGTTCACATATGACCATTATGACCTACTGTAGCAGGCTACCTCCAGCTACAGTAGGTCATAATGGTTACATGTGAAGACTTTCAACAAGTTCGTTACCTATATGTGTACAAAAGAAAAATAGTTATCCAAATATGAACAAAACCAAAAGTAAGAATAAATTACACGAATGGTCCTTGTGGGTTGGGGGAATATATGCATTTGGTCCCTAACTTATTTTTTTAATTCGGATGGTCCCTACTGTTTTGTTTTGTTGCGTTTGGTCCATGTATTACCTAAAAAGACTAGTGTGTCCTTATTAATTTATTTATTTTAATTAATTTTCTTATTTATGTATTTTTTTTATATGTTTAAAAAAACTAATAGACCTCACATATCTATATCTTCTCACCATCCTATCTTTCATCATCCTAAACTTTTATTTCTTTTCCATATTTAATAACAACGAAGTCTTCACCATCTATTCTTTTTCGGTCCTTCAACTTCAGCGAACCAACACCACAACCCAATAAAGTGAAGAGATCGTGGGTTATGGTGTTTGTTCGTCAGAGTTGAAGGACAAAAAAAAAGGATGGTGAAGACTTTCATGTCACTAAAGATTGAAAAAAATAGAGGTTGAAGAAGATGTGAGATGGGATGGTGACCGGTGGCACCCAAATTAAATTTCTCAAATATGGTTTCAGATTTATGGTGAGGAGATACAGATATGTGAGATCTATTAATTTTTTTAAACATATAAAAAAACATAAATAAGAAAATTAATTAAAAAAATAAATTAATAAGGGCATAATAGTCTTTTTAGGTAAAACAGGGACTAAGCGCGCAACAAAAATAAACAGTAGAGACCATCTGAGTTAAAAAGAATAAGTTATGGACCAAATGCACAAATTTTCCTGTACAATAGGGACAATTCATGTAATTTACCCTTACTTTTGGTTTTTGTTCATATTTAGGTAATTATTTTTTTTTGTACACATCTAGGTAACGAACTTGATAAAACTGTTCACATATAACCATTATGACCTGCTGTAGCTAGATGTAACCTACTACAGCAGGTCATAATGATCATATGTGAACAGTTCCAAAAAATTTGTTACCTAGATGTGTACAAAAAAAAAAAAAATAACTACCTATATGTGAAAAATCCAAAAATTAATTACCTTAACAAATCCTATTCCCGTTTAAATACAAATGTTTTTTGCTTCACCACTACTTAATTCAAGTGTTACTACAAATATTTTATTTTTGTACGTTGCATAATTACAAAATAGTCAAAGCAAAACATTAATGTGTTTTTTGTTTGTATTATATCAGCCACTTGTAAACGCAAGGTTTATGAGAATTTGTTTATTAATATTAACATTTGATTTGTTGAAAATGAAAGGAAAAAAAAATTAATTCTTAGAGTTGTTAATTTTTTTTTTCTCATTTGAACCATTCCATATATATATATATATATATATATATATATATATATATATATATATATATATATATATATATATATATATATATATCTTAGTCTTCAAACTTGAATTGAAGCTTCAGTTTCCATGTATCCATGATATTCTTGTACATTGTGTTTACACTTGTGAGAAGGAATATAGACAATATCTAAACATGTGAAGCAAATAAAAACCAAATGATTATATTGCATTTATTTTGAAAAAATAATTTTCACTAAAAAAACAAACGAAATTAACAAGTAACAGAATATAGCAACATTCGTTGTATCCCATCACGAGGCATTCATGAGTCATGACAATGACAGACACTATCAATTAAATTTCCTTAATCATAATATTTACAATTAATGTGTGGTCATTACTTGAGATTTTAAGGAAATCTTTCAATTAATGATTTCCCATAAACAACAAGATTTTAATATTATAATTTTGTCAAATCTGGCACCTGTTTTATATATATAGCAAAACTCATCTGCAACACACAACAAAACTACCATATTCCTATCGATTCTTTGCTTCATTAGCCATGACTAGGCAGAAAGTGAAGCTTGCTTTCATAACCAACGACTCAGCAAGGAAAGCAACATACAAGAAAAGGAAGAAAGGTTTGATGAAGAAGGTGAATGAGTTGAGTACCTTATGTGGCATTGATGCATGTGCCATCATATATAGCCCATATGAACCTCAACCCGAGATATGGCCCAACAACATCGGTGTCCAGCATGTGATTGCTCGATTTAAGAGGATACCAGAGATGGAGAGAAGCAAGAACATGCTGAATCAGGAGAGCTTCATCAGGAAACAGGTGACAAAAACCAATGAGCAGCTCAAGAAGCAGATGAAGGAGAATCGGGAGAAGGAGATGACTGAAGTCATGTATCAATGTTTGACTGGAAAGGGGTCAATAGAAAACTTGACCCTTCCAGATTTGAAAGATTTGGGGGAATTGGTGGACCAAACCCTTAAAGACATTTCAAGAAGGATCGAGTCTCTCAAGATAGCCAGTCCCAATGAAGCTGCAGCTGCTGCACCACCTCTACCACAGGCGGTTGTTGGTGGTAGCAGTTCAAGTATGGTGGTGGATAATGTGAGTGGTAGGGATGAGATGCAAAGGGGAACTCAAACTACTCAATGGTTCACAGATTGGATGAACAATCCGTCTGAACAAAATTTGGGTCTTGGCCCCAATCGCATATGGCCACATCCATTTTTCCCTGATTGTTAAGCTTATATATTTTCCTGTTTTGGATGTATTTTCTTGAAAGAAACCGATTCTATCAGCATCATTCATGTGTTAGAAATTTTGGACACACTTGATTGTTATAATTCAAACTCATGGAAACAAGAATTCTTGTGGAACATCATGTAACTTCATTTTTAAGTCATAGAGTCTGTAATGAATGGAAACCTCGCCTTCTAAATTCACTACAAAATCTGGTCTAATATGGTCAAGATATATCTTTTCAAAAATCCCTTTTCAAAAACTTGATTGCCAATTAGCAGAGAACAATTTTACATTTTACAAACCTGTTTGTCTTTGTCATACATTTTACACAGAAACACGAAGCGTTTGTGGCATATCATATCAGTGGGAAATTTCATACAACACTTGGTGTTTCTCTAATAGTATGAGATATCTTACACAATTTGTCGTGGCTAAAGAAGTGTTAAGCCTACGCACAAAAGCCCTTTATGCATTATATGTCAAGGTGATAATCATGTAGTCTAGACTACAAATGCTACTTCCCGTATGTAATATTTGACTTATAGTTACAATTATGAATTCGGAAGAAAATACATGAATCACTCTTAAAGTACAAACTAATTCACTCTTAAGGCCCAATTGTTACACAAGATAGGACATAACAGGTTGTACTACATTTGGCATGCACTTGACAGGGATTGATGTCTGTCAGTAGGACAAAAGTTGTAATTAATTTCATTGGCTCTTAGCACATATATATATATATATATATATATATATATATATATATATATATATATATATATATATATAGAGAGAGAGAGAGAGAGAGAGAGAGAGATTCCCTGGAGTTGGTTATTTTTGTAACTTTGGCAATCATTCCATAATATCAAATCTTCTTCTTCCCTGAATCCATTGTTCTTTAATTTTATTCACTGTTACATTGAGTCACTAGTCACTACATTTACAATTCCCCATCAACATACCTCTCATGCCAAAAAAAATCACAGGAAACAGGAAAGTCCCTCACTAACGAAAACCATATTATCTCCAATGTAGCCCAAAAATACTTTTTACTAAAAAAAAAACAAACAAATTAACAGGTGAGAACTATAACAGAATGGTAACAACATTCTTGTATTCCATCACAAGACATTCATTACTAACAACGCTAGCAATTAAAAATCTTGGATTGTAATATTCACAATTAATCTGTGGTCATTACTTGAGATTTTGTGGAAATCTTTGAATAAATGGTTTCCCATAAAAGAATAAGATTTTAATATCATGATTTTGCCAAATCTGTACCTGCAATATGTATATACCAATGTCCATTAGCAACCCACACACAAAAATACCATATTTCTATCGATTCTTTGCTTCTGTGGCCATGACTAGAAAGAAAGTGAAGCTTGCTTTCATAACCAACGACTCATCAAGGAAAGCAACATACAAGAAAAGGAAGAAAGGTTTGATGAAGAAGGTGAATGAGTTGAGTACCTTATGTGGCATCGATGCATGTGCCATCATATATAGCCCATATGAATCTCAACCCGAGATATGGCCCAACAATATCAGTATCCAACATGTTCTTGCTCAGTTTAAGAGGATACCAGAGATGGAGAGAAGCAAGAACATGATGACTCAGGAGAGCTTCATCAGGAAACAGATCACCAAATCCAATCAGCAGCTCAAGAAGCAGATGAAGGAGAATCGAGAGAAAGAGATGACTGAGGTCATGTATCAATGTTTGACTGGAAAAGGTTCAATAGAAAACTTGACCATGCCAGATTTGAATGACCTGGGTGCGTTAGTTGACCAAACCCTCAAAGACATTTGCAGGAGGATTGACTCTCTCAAAGTAACCATTCCCGGTAAAGCTCCACCACCACCACCACCACAGGCCACTGGTGTTGGTAAAAGTTCAAATGCTACTAATGAAATGAAGAAAAGAGGAGTTGTGATGCATGCACTAGATAAACAAGCTATGGTGGTGGATAAGGTGAGTGGTTATATGGATGGGATGCAAAGGGGGATTCAAACTCAATGGTTCACAGATTGGATCAATAATCCATCTCAACATAACTTGAGTCTTGCTCCTGGGTATGAGTTGACTCAGTTTGTTAGTAACCCAAATCCCATATGGCCAAGTCCATTTTTTCCATGAAAGCTAAACTATTTATGATATATTATATATTCCTTACAATCTCTACCATCCTCCGACTCTATCACGCTTAATCCTGTCACTTTGGCTGCACCCTTGGCTTCCATAAGATCCCTCATCATTCTTGCATCATCCCAGTTTTTTGCTTCAGCATATATGTTTGAAAGAAGTATGTATCTGAAATATATATGTTTCAATCATCAATTTCTATACGTATTAATGATATTATATATATATATATATGAAAAAGATTTAATAGTAACAGAAAAATCTCCATACCTTCCACCATGTTGTGGTTCTAAATCTAGGAGGTGCTTTCCCACTTCCTCTGCCACCTGTGCATTCCCATGAATCTTGCAACCACCAAGCAATGCACCCCATATGTAAGCATTGGGCTCTACAGGCATTTTCCTTATGAGATCCAAAGCCTCCTCCAATCTTCCACCTCGAGATAGTGAGTCGATAACACATCCATAATGCTCAACTTTTGGTTCAACACCATAAGCACCTTCCATGGAAGACAATAGTTCTTGACCCTCCTTTATCATTCCAGCATGACAGAAAGCAATAAGCATACCAACAAAAGTCATGTCATTTGGTGCCATGCTTTCTTTCTGCATCTGTTTGAATAGATTTTGAGCATCCTTGGAATAACCATGCATCCCCATGCCAATTAACATGGTATTCCAAGCTAGAATGTCTTTAGTTTGCATTGAGTTAAATATCTTTGAAGCTTCTGTAATGTTACCACATTTGATATACATATCTATCAATGCAGTACCAACAATTAGGTTAATATTGATGCCTTGTTCGCTTATGTAGAAATGCAAGTGTAAACCTTTATCTAAAACACCCAATTGACCAATGGCAGATAATACACTAACAACTGTAGTTTCATCCACCCTTATTCCTGCTAATTTCATTGCATCAAATAATGCAAGTGTCTCATTTGGCTTTCCATTCTGTGCATAGCAAGCCAACATGGCGTTCCATGAAACCACATCTCTGTAAGGCATGTGGTGGAAAATTCTAAGTGCATCTTCTACGTTGCCACATTTCACATACCCAGCTAACATTGAATTCCAAGAGACTATGTTTCTCTCAGGCATTTGATCGAACAGCCTCTTTGCTTCACCAAGATTCCCAACAATTCCATAGCCATTGATCATACTGTTCCAAGAAATCACATCCCTGTGTGGCATTTGATCAAACACTTGCCTTGCAAGGTCCATCTGGCCGGATTTTACATATGCATCGACCATAGAATTCCAACAAACAATATCTCTCTCTGGATGCGCATCGAACAACTTCTTTGCAGAAGGCAAACGTTTAGCATCCGCATAAAACTTAATCAACGAACTTTGTACATAAAAGTCAGACTCAAAGCCACATTTCAAAATATGGGTATGAACCAAAATCCCAAACCCAATACTTGAAGACAACGTACATGCCTTAATTACAAACGGGAAAGTCATATTATTGGGTCCTACACCATTACGTAGCATTTGACGGAACAAGAAGAAGGCTTCTTGAGGCTGGGTAGTGGATGCCGAAAACCCTCTAACGAGCGCGTTATAGAGTTGCACAGTGGGGTTTGGTTGCTGATCGAATATGGTTTTAGCATAAAGTAAGTTTCCATGAGGTGAAATCGCACAAAAAGACGCCAGCCTACACAATTCTGGAAGTGAGGTTTCATGAGGAAGAAAGCCTTCATGAACGATTATTTGAGCATGTACTTGTTTGAATTGCCTAATGCTTTTGCATTTGATTACAAGGTTATCAAATTGGGGCTTCAACGATGAGTATCTGATGGTGAATTGCTTGTTAATCATGGAAACTAACTGGTTATGATATAACCGTTTTGAGAGTGTAATAAGAAGAAATGAGAAGAAATTTTTGATGTTTATTCCCAACAAATGCTGAACGTTCAAACTGTACATGAACCGTTGGGAAGTTCGTAGATGTTACTTTATATCGTTAGTTCAATTATATACTTCAACATTATGGTTCGTTCAAATTTTTTTATATTATACTAAATAGAATTATATATTTAAAATAATAATTTTTATCAAATTATTATTTAATATTTTTAAGGAAGTTAGCAAACATATAGTTAATATATTAATTTTATTAAATATTATAGTTTAATTTTTAAATCATTGTGATATATATAATTATTTGATAATTTTATAAACCATTTAAAATTGTGTAAATTATATATCAAATGAATGATAATATAACGGATAACAAAACGTATGAACAAAAATATGAACTGCAACTTTTAGTAACACAAATAGAAAAACATCAATTATAACATTTAGATAAAACTGCAAAAATGGTCCCTGTGGTATGCATTTTTTTGGGGTTTTGGTCCAAACCCCAACTTTTTTGGATTGACAGTCCTTTTGAGCTACTTTGTTTGTGGTTTTGGTCCCTCATAAAATTAAAAAGACAAAAATACCATTCTGATACATTTTCTATGCTTTTTTCTATTTAATATAAAGTTTTATTAATAAAAATTATGGGACCCACCTATCTCCCCCCCCCCCCTCTCTTTCTATCTCTCTCTCTCTCTCTCTCTCTCTCTCTCTCTCTCTCTCTCTCTCTCTCTCTCTCTCTCTCTCTCTCTCGTATCTCACCATTTGAAGAAAGAAAGCACTGGTGATTGTAACAACGGTCTAGGCTGCTCACCACCACGACTGCCGCCATAGACCACAACAACCCCACTGAAAACCATCCTCGTCTGTCTTGGTCGAGCCCCACCACCATTCCTTACTGTTTCTGTCGAGCAAGCTGCCAGGCACCACCCTACACCACCATGTTCTTCCCCTTTCTTGCTACTGATCAGAGGAAACAACCACCACCATCTTAACCCACTTAATTTTTCGAACACCTCCTCCACCTCCCCATGTCGTGACCCACCACCAGCAAACACCCTTCCCAAATACCTACGGACCATAACCTTGCTCCTCCCAGCCCTCTCTCTCGTTGAGCTCTTCTGAAAAGAAATGAAACAAAGGTAGTGAAGTTGCCACCTTTATCTTAATATTTTGGCCTTATTTATTCTATTTTAGAACTAAAGAGTACTCATAATGCTTTGAATTATATTTTGCAGCTATTTGTTGTCAATAAAGCACAAGAGAAAAGACTGAAGCGGAAACCGAGCTTAGAAGCTAAAAGAAAGAAATGGGGGCTGAGGACGCGGTTACGCCCCGCGTACCTGCTTGAACTGGATATACATGATCGCGTAGTTATCTTGAGTACGCGCCGCGTAATCCTAAGTACGCCCAGCGTACATAGGTCGGCCACAAAGATTATAAATGTCGATTTTTAGCCAACCAGGAGGGGGGATTCGACTTCTAACCTAATTTAGTCGACAATTAACTTCTGTTAAGCCGTTTTGAGGGTCTAGAAGGTGGCCGGAAGGCCGTTAAGCTAACGGGAGCAGAGATCTGAAGGATTAGAGAGCGGATACATGTTGGTAATCATATGGATTGCTAACGTGACCATGTTTAGCACTTCCTTATGGTACTTTTTGTATTTAGTTTCTGATTTGGGTGTAAAAACCTTTTACCTTGTGTTTATGATTGAATGAAGTTTTGATTCCTAGACTAATTGTGATGTTAAATAATTTATTTGTGTTTAATTTATCTTGCCAAGCTTGTTCAAAGATCCTCATGTGTTAATGATGATTATTTGCTGTTAATTGTTAAGTGAATTGAGTTGTATGAAAACCTGCTTGATTTGCTTGTCTCTTATGATTTTTGATGACCATTGAGATTATAAGACTAGAAATAACGAATGTGAAACTAGGATTAACATGGGAATAAATAAGTTAATGTGTGAGCCTTGTTTGATGACCATCAACAAGAGGTTAATTAAATGTTTAAATTAACTAAGTTTACAAGTCTTGCTTGATACGAACTGAACACTAGGAAGCATGTTAGTTTAACCAATTGATCACTGTTTGAATTAACTTGTTTGCTAAAGGATTAGTTATAGTGAACATGAATCTAATCAATTTAGGAATCGGTGAACATGAATAAATGAATTTGTGCATGCGATTGTTTATGTCTTCAAGGTGGAATTTGTCTAAACCAAAGTACCTAAAGAGATTTGTTTTTCCTGTTAGTTTATCGAGAATGGTTAATTAGTTGTTAGTTTGAGATTTATTAAATTATTCTTTTCGTGTGACCTGTAACCTATAATCAAATATATTAAATTAATCCACCATTCCCTGTGATCGACACCCGACTTACCTAAGCTATGCTGTAATCTGACTAGGTACACTGCCTATAAGTGCATAGTTAGTCTAAGTTTGTTAGGTTATAAATATTAAAATTAATGGGTACTTTCGTGCACATCACCCACCAAACGCCTCGATCTTGTCGTAACCCAGCACCACCAAACGCCATCGTCATTTCTGCTTCGTCTTGGTCCCTCATCGAGCATCCACCAACAGAAATTAAGCAGCAAGGCTGCCCACAACCACCAACTACAGCCACCTATCGTTGCCCTTCCACCGTCGGATCAGGTAGAAGAAGAAGAAAAGGTGGGGTTAGGATCGTTTCTTCTTATCCTGACGCAGACTAAGTCGGAGGAGGAGCGGTCATCGTCTGAAATCTTTGAGCTTCCTTTTGATGCGTTGTTGAATGAAATCGATGGTGGGAGGATCGAGCGGAGTCATTGAAGGCTAATAAGTGGCGACTGCTTGTATATGTCGAGTGTGTGTATGTATATGTGTGTAGATTCTTTATGGTGATCTGGGGGAGGACGAAGAGAGAGAGAGAGAGAGAGAGAGAGAGAGAGAGAGGGAGAGAGAGAGAGAAAAGAGTTTGAGAGAGAGAGAGAGGGAGTGGTAGGGAGGTGGGCCTAGTTTTATATTTAATAATAATAATAATTTTAAAAAGTGAAAGAAAATGAAAATTAAATTCATTAAGGGTATAATAGTCTTTTTAGTTTGGACAGGGACCAAAACTGCATGTAAATTAGCTCAAAAGGACCACCAATCCAAAAAAGTCGAAGTTTGGACTTAAACCCCAAAAAAATGCATACCACAGGGACCATTTTTGCAATTTTGTCTAACATTTATATTAAAAATGATATATTTACAACGAATAATAAAAAATATGAAAAATAAACACTATAACTTTTAATAACATAAAAACACTAAAACATCTATTATAACATTTATATTAACTTTTCATATTTAAATCACAAATCTTCTCAAATATATTAATGTTTTTAATGAGCAAAATTTTACAACTTTATAAAAGAAAGAAAAATAAAAATTATTAATAATTACTAATTAATAATCATAAGTTAAAAACTCTTGAATTGTAACTATTAAATATACATAAATTAAAAAACTCTTGAGTTGTAATATGAGTTTCAAATGAATGTGATACTTGGAAATGTATATTTATTATTATTATTATTATTATTATTATTATTATTATTATTATTATTACTATTATTATAATTATTATTATTATTATTATTATTATTATTATTCTAAATAATTGGTTTTGATGAATCATTTTAATTCCTTCAATTATTAAACATAAAAATATTTAATTATAAATTATACATAGATGCACATACATGTTAAACAAATCACATATAATATATACATTTTCTAAATGTCATATGTTTGTCGTAGTAATATGGATAAATTACTTTCATATGAAGAAAATATCATGATAAGTCTATCATAATTACATATCAAATGTTCAAAATTATGTTATCTTTTAAATATTATCTTTTAAATATGTTGTGTAGGATAACCTAACAAAAAAATAATAGAAAATAAACATAATCAAAATAGAAAAACTACAATCAAATAAATAAGAGCATTGGATGGTTTAATATATAAATAAAGATGTTACATAAACATACATTTAAATTAAAAGAAAAAACTAACATTCGTCAACTTTGCTCAAACAAAAAAACTTATATCCATTTTATGAATCTTCTTTCTTCATTTAATCATTTAACACCATTCAACCATAGAAACTTGATGACAATTCTTCACTAACCTGCAATCAAAATATTTTTATTGAAAAAGAAGAAGCAGAAAGATATTCCAAGCAAAACATTAATGTTTGGAGAGTCACATTCAGATTGAGTAATACACACAAATCACATATAAAGATTAAATGAGAAACTGAATATGAAGAAAGAACAGAAAAGCTTCATTTGTTTTGGTTGAAAGAAAAAATTATATTAAAATTACCATCGATGTGACAGAACTCATTTCTATAAATCATCATATTTGGATCGTGAATGCTTCAATATTATAGGAATAATATATTAATAGGAGAAATCATATTTGTTTAATTAATATTGGTCAATAATTAATTAAGAATTAATTTTGTGATCAAATGTAATTAATTAAACTGTAGGGACTGAATTGTAATTATGTGATAGTTGCAAACTAGGGCAATGGATGCCCTATGGGAGAGGTGGAAGAATTCAAGGGAATAAGGCCCTTGAAATCGTCCAATGATAAAGGTTATCAAGGCTTATCTTTTGGTTACTTGGTGGGCAAGCAACTAGATAAGGATAAGGATTGAAACCCTAATATCTACCCCATATAAAGACCCCTAAGGCTATAGAAATCGGCCACTTGATTTCCTATGGTTCCTAGAGCCGATTTCTAACCTCTTTCCTCTCTCTCTCTCTTGCTTCTCCATTTGCTTATGGTGTTTGTGAGCCATTAGAGGTACTACACTTGTGGTACTTGCTTTCAAGACTAAGAGATTGAAGATTAGTGTTGTTATTGCAATATAATAACCAGAGGTATGTGATCTACTCTTCTATATAAATTTTG